CACGTATGTGGCAACAGCAGAAACGATGAGTGATATCGAAAAAAAGTTCGGAGAGGAGCGATCAGACATTGTGACGTTGCGCACTTAAAAAACTATCTTCATAAACACGCCGTATATTGCCACACTAATATTGTATATCATACAGAGGATAGGCATAGGCATTCCGGGTGATATAAACGAACTGAGTCTTTATTTGTGTTTTCTAATTCACTAGACGGGTTTCTACTTGAGTGTTTCTCTCACACGCGGGATCCCGGCTTAGCTTATCGGTTCTATCGCTAATATTTCTGATGACTCTATTATCAGAAATATAGGGATCCGGACTCAAAGCAATATTTGATGAATCTGTGGTTTTGTGTTTTGGATTGGCTTTTTCGATAATCTGGTCCCTAGATGTAACAAATACAATCGTACGCATTAGAGTATGGAGACCCTACTGTGTTTTCCACCATAATATTGGGATATAAGCAAAGGTGAGTCTCAGGTGGAATATGACACTTAGCCATGACAGGCGATATTTTTTCGAATAGCCCCTGCGCAAGATAATTCACTGAGAAGTAGGACATGTTGTTGACTCCTCCTAGCCAGCCTACCAGATGTGCCCGATTATGCCGTAAATGGGATGAAGAGCTAGGTGTCACTAAGTGATGAAGTATAGGTGCCGAGATTTAACTGCACCAGCTTAGTGCTTTGATTTTCTCTTATTTTTCTTAAGTTGGGCGTAGAATTATTTTATTTGTTATGAAATATCATGCTTCCAATAGATTAGACTCTAATCGTAGTTACTGACACTAAATCAATCTAGACCGACGTAGTAATTGATTAAAGCAGAATCAAATATATGATCAATAGTCTCAGTCTCAAATTCACTAACCTTCTAGCTCATTGCCGAGGGCTGAAACAACACTAAATTTACTTGTGCAATTTAAAGTTTTTTAGTATCGTGTACTCAGCCTGGTTAGTCCGACTTTTACATCCCAATCAAGAATAAAGGGCATTAAGTGCCGATTACATAGCCTATGGAACATAGATGGGGTGCGTCGTCAGAACAAATTCGGTAGTACTTTTAAAGGCAAATTTGATATTTTTAGGTTACGGATACGGCTTAAATCGAATTGGAACAGGCAATCAAGATATGGGCTACATTAAGAGTCTAGTATTTGTGGCTAGAGCTTAGTTGTAGTTGACTGTGCACTGTAGTTTACTATGAGGGAACTAAGCTAAATGGTCTGTCACTACTGTCGTCCAGCTAGCTATTTTAGTAGACCTGACTAATCACACAGGGCCTACGGCTAGACGCAAATGTTTGCGGCTGCCCTTATTAGTTCACGAGTTCACTCCTGTGACACTGGGGCATCTTTGTTTCTACCCGACTACATTCTATAAACCAACAGTTGCTCTAATTGCTTTTGTTTTTTTTTGCTAAAGATAAATAGATATAGCCAAAGCCGAATTGCATCCAGACAGTTAGTCGAAAGCGAGTTACTATCTTGCGCGTCGTCTCAACACTCAGAGAAATAGAGACAAAGTATGGGAAATATCCATACAGTGCATTTATACCACTCATCCGATGCATCGCAAAACAATCGTAAACCATAGGGATATTTTTATTTATTTCAATTTGAATAAGAGTTGGATGAAGTTTCATATAGTTTCGCTGCAAGAAAAGAGCAAATAATCATATAGCGAATATCTAATTCGGTACTGCGGAAATAAGCTCCATACGATATCACAGGCACACACAATCACATCACACGGACACAATAGATCAATCACTACATAATATAACATAACAAAATCAACTGCGACCCTCCCATTTCCCACGAAATTCGATACTCTTTATAGACGCTGCTGAGGCTTTCCACATACAATATACTCACAATTCTCTAAGTATAAAAACTTTGAATCTGCGAATACATACTTGACCTCCAAACTCGATTCTATATTAGAGCTCAATAACCCTCGCAATCATTTTAACGACTCCTCAGTTATACTCGCAGTGACACACCTTTTACTAACAAATAAAATAAGGAATTACGTGCTGACCTCGACTGCTACAAACGACACAATGTTGCCCTTGGCCACGAACACAAGAGCAATCCGACACCCTACAGCAAGACGCCAAGCACATACATCTGTCACAGCACAATTTAAGCTATACGAACAAGGCTAATTTTTTTCCACACTAAGGTCAGAACTAAATACCACTCGAGTTGAACTTTAAAAACCATATGACAAAATCGATACACTCGACAGCCTTAAGCACAAGTCAACTAATTTCGCCAAGAAGTACGGCATCCTGTCAGATGCTTCTGATATTCCATTAACAAGTCCTTACCGAAAGGATGGGGATAAACGTGCCAAGAAGTACGGCATCCTGTCAGATGCTTCTGATATTCCATTAACAAGTCCTTACTAAAAGGATGGGTATAAACGTGTCAAACTTACTGGTTGGTCTAACTGCGGCGCATGGCTTATCGGCCTCAAGATAGAGTTAGCTCATAATTGTTCATAGTACCGCCTCCACTCAGAATATAACAAGCCGGATCACGGAGGTCCAGATATGCTAGCAGCCGCCAAATGCCGCCGTATCATGGTAGACACAACTGTATACTTACAGGACATCAGCAAACCCCCAGCCGAATTTTTCAGACATATCTGCACCCCGAACAAGATAGGTAGCCATGGCCGGTTTTGAGAGACGATACAACGCCTCATACAGGCAGTACTAAACTAACTATGCAGGTGCTCGGATCTCTTCGCCAGAACCTACCAAACATGGGAGAAGTTGTACCAGATAAATGCCTTATCTGTGCATTTATATAAAGTCTTGGCGAAGAATATAAACCTATCGGCTGAAATAAATCTTGGGACAGTGGGTTTTGGTATGTTTTGGTAAGACCTTGTTTTATCACTCTTGATGGATTAAGCAGATAATTCTGGGCATTTCGTTCGTTGGAACCTATGTCATAGCACCAATATTTACTAGTTAGTAGTACTGTGAAGTTAGGCCCTCAGGAACCTGTACAACAAGAGTAGCGTGCATAAAATAGCACTAATCAAGTGTTTTAAGGGTCTAAAATTTGTTTTTAACTTATAATTAGTGTATATGATGATGGTTATATATGGTTCATTGAATGGTCAAAATTCGACAGGGCACATTATACACACCACCAGCTTTAAGGAAGGTGAATGGATTTGTAATTATTAGTAATAAAACATGGAATGATTATAGTCAATAAATATAGTCTTACATGTATAAGACAATGTATAGGCCAGCCTTGTATCTGTTCATTAGCTCTAGCATCGACCAAGTTAAAGCATGCGGCATACAATGTATAATTATACATAGACACATTATATTGATAAAAACGCATATACTTTCATGAATTAATACACGTATAATACAAATAAGAGCATATGCAGACATATTGTATACTTTAAGTCTTAGTGATGTGGAACTATCGACCTTCGAAGTACTTTATTATTTTCCCTTTAGGTTAGACTTCTTGGCCTTCGTCTGACAGTACGCCAGTTTGAACCTGATGCAAGCGTCTGTTGCGAATTCATCAGGATAGCTACCACTATCTTTTACATATTTCTCTTCGAATAGTGGTATAGCTGTTTGCCATTTAACTGTCATGTTTGCAGCAACCTTATTATCAAGACCATTTTGATAAATTTTCGGGAAGGCCTCAGTAGGTTTGCGCTTCCTCTCCTCTGGTGCGGGGATATATACTTCACCTCTTGCTAAAGCTGCTGCCTTTAACTTCGGGGGGGGGGGGGGGGTTTGCCTTATCCTCTTCTCACTTGCGCTTGACCAGAGGGCCTTTCTTCACTTGAACCAAATACGACGTTAGTGTCGGTACATTCATCTCACCAAGTAATAAATATCTCATAGGGTACATTAAGTTCAACTATGATATCATAGACCCCGGCTGTATTTTAAGCGACGAATCAACCTCACTCTTTCTCGAACATGTCCTTTATATCATTCACATGAGGTCTCCGTCGGGCCCAGCCTTGTTTGAACTTGGCTAGATGAAACTTTTCGCTGCCATTACGCACAGGCACAGCATGATACGAAATAGGAGCATTCGCAGACCTAAGACGTGGCGAACATATCAGCACGGTTGTATTCCCCAAGCTTGCGTTTGTCACGCATGTGATCGCGCGGACACAATACAGTACCCAGCTTATACTGTTTCAATACAAACTCGCGCAACAATCGCATTCCGCCTTTGTCTGGACCACCCGCTCCATAACCAGCACGCTCTTTTGTGGCGACACCTTCATTACAATGTATACCTCTAGCTCATCAATTACATTCTCTATTTCCAATTCAGAATCTACATCATTAACGAGTCCCATAGTTTCTCCACATTCCATTAAATTCTTTATCGCCCTGAGTCTTGCAACATTGTCGACGGAATCTCCTTCGTTAGAAGCTTCTGCATCCGTGTCGAAGGTTTCTAGAGGTAGATGGAGCTTTCGTTGAGTGTCCATTAATCCCTGCAGTATCGCCACTCTTCTCACATACAGTGTTATCTTTTCCAGTATATATGCTATCATAATCGCTTTAAGGAATCGTTTCTGAACTTTACTCAAAACACTACACCGTCCCCAACGCCCGCAAGTACAACTCGGTATCAATATGAAGGAGCTTCTCTAAATCCAATTTATCGTCGCCCTCTAGTGGACAAATAATTTTCTCAAAGAATACATCATTTACACAGGCGAAGTATTTGCTTACTGTATCTACCTAGTGCGTTTGATGAATAATTGCAGCCGGTCTATCTACATTTGCAAGTTGTACGAACGAGTTGGGGGCCAACGCAGCTGCTAATTCTTGGGCATCGCTTTTTTTCTTTATCCGAATACCCTTAGATGACTTCATATAGTTTCCTACATGATCCCCTCCGCGAGCAAAATGTGCGTCAATCAGGTCTTTGCCATCCTGAGTTTCAGTATGTATATATCGTATGACGTTAGTAGGACATGTGAGATTCAGCAATCCTAGAAAAACTAGTAGTTTTTTTAATCTGTAGCAGCCCGTGTCATCAGATGGGAGGACTGTGGTAGTCATATTTGGGAGACTCCCCCTGATAACATATAGGTAAGATCTGATCATGAGTATACACAAAATACATTTTGCTTATTCCCCCCCTCCTCCAAGATCTGGTCTCCGTATATGATGTGACGAACAGCTGCGCTCGTATCAACAGCACTACCGTTTTCACCTATTTCTGTCCATTCTTTATAGCTAAAGTACATGAACATGCAGCCGTGTCGGCCCTTACCACGTTGCCCGCAATGCTCATATGTGGTCTCACGTGTTGAGCCGGCTGAAATATCATCTTTCAATCGATGAGTGGGAACAACTCAGTACTCACTTTGTTCTCTAAACAGCGATCCGACACCCTTTTCAGTATTTGTCATCGTGGCATTGTTGATTCTTTGCTCGACTTCTATGACCTGAATATATATTTAATTTATCTTTGCACACATCTAACACATCTAACGCCTCATCCCACACATCGGTCCCACCGTGCGCACTCCCCCCGATTGTTTGTTTAATATGCGACACAACCCATGGCAGACACTCGCCTGCTTTTACGTGCACATCGTCGCTAGCCTTCAAAAGCGCATAACATAGCCCGTGAGAAGGAGCATTATCCTCTTTGACAACGTGATAATCCAGTTGTTATTTGATAGATGTTTTAGCCAAATTTATTAGCGATAATTGCCGTGTGCGTTCTGCCTGGTCTTTTGGAAAAGTCCACCAATTTGTTTTGCATCGTGTCTACAACATTTGTGACTAGACTTCCGGTTATGTGTTATATTGCACTAATTAGCTTCTGATCGTTGTTCGTGTTACAGCCATAAGGTTCTCAATGAAGATGGGTTTACCTATATGATCTATCTCATCGACTGAAACTGTATAACCTCAGTATAGAATATGCGAAGGTTTACCCTGCGTTAATACCCGCAATGTTGATAGTTCATCGCGTTCGATTCTCAACAATTTAGTGCTCCACGACAATATTAAGCATGCATTTTCATATAAGAGCATAAACTTTATAGCTATCGCAAGTTTTGTTGTACTAAATTGCATCCGGACATGTGTCACCACGTCTAGACAAGTTCCACAGCTGTCATGATATATATTTTAGTCTTCGTAAGCCACATCTCGAGAAGTACCAGACAATGTCGAGTCTCTGTTTTGCTTCTTGACGTCAATCTTCATTGTGTTACTCCTTTACCAATATTTCCCAGTTATTTGCTTTTGTAACGAGTTTTTCGGGGCTTTGTTAAATGTCTGCGACACAGTCTAGACTTTAGATTTTTGTCTCCTATTTGTTTCTTGGGTATTAACCACAGCACTCAGCGAGGTTGTTATATTGTTGAGTATCACTTAGATTGACAGAATACACGATATTCCCTAACCAGCATACCGTCTTCAGCATGAACTGTGCCATGTTTCTTCATCTGTGGGGGTGTGTATCTGCCAGTCTCCTGTTGTGTGCACGTAAATCTGAACTCGGGATAGTCTTTCTGGGGATACGACTCCAACCGAATGCCTGAGCAGTATCTGTTACAGTGTTGATGTGGTTAATGCTAGTTGTGCTGATGGTCACTATGTCGTTACTCACATTGTGCACAAGTGCTCGTCGCACGTATCTTGCGGCGTACAATACCAGGCCGCCATGTTACTTTTAAACTCTAAATCGCCTATTTCAATGCAGTGCGTCAATCGATGGTCATCACATTATCACGGTACATGATCTCGCGTTGTCGATGTTCTACATTACTATGGTCTTCTAGGATGCTACTAATGACCTTATAAGAAGTTTATATCACGTTTAGACACTTACTACTCGACCCCACATCTAGTCTACCCTCTATAACCTACGTACTTGTAACTCGTGAAATATTGATGCTACGGACATGGTTCAAAACCAAATGTGGTCTTACCCTGTCTAGAGTGCTAATTCGAACCCAGGTGTCATAATAATAAAATTACAGCACTGGAAAGTCACTAAATGTACATAAAAGAGTCTCTAAATGTATTTTTAAAGTATTATTTGGAATAAGTTTGAGAAAGGAATTGAATATCACAATAGCGAATTTAATTTGGCAATTAGAAAACGCACCAGTAAATCTGTATGTACATTTAATGACTTTCCCATGTAGGCCATGTACATTTAGAGTATTTCGTCATAAATTAAGGGTTGACCTATCGCATTTAAACAGACCGGTTGTACCCCAAGGTCGTTTGATATCTGATCTTATTTCTAAACATCATGAGGGTGTATCCCCCACTAAGAAACCTTTTTGGCAGTATTTGATTGTGCCGGCAAGGACGACGAGCTCTATTTCGAAAGAACGGGAGGTAGTGAGGCAGACAAGAGGTGAATCGCCTGTATGTATATCGGTCTTCCCCGTTTGTGTCAACAATAGTCCGTATCGGGTATCTATACGCACTCTTACACTTTAAGTGCATGCAAGAATGATTTTGTATGCAATTTGAAACCATGTATTTTCCAGTATCGATTGGAAAGATGTGCGCGAACCCCGTGGCCGACGATTTCATAATAAATTGATCAAAATTTAATGGTATCCGAGTTTGCATGTAACATTGCATAAATATGCGAAGGTGTACATGTGTGCCTGTGTGCCCAGCCACATTGTGTAAGATTCGGTCTAATAAAGGCGATACTAATGCCTTAGAATAAATAAACGCGTAGGTAAATTCTATATATCGTGTAAATATCGATATAAATAAACGAAATGAGACGTTTAATTAAGTTAGGTTTGTCTCGTGAATACAGCAATACTCTGAGGGATTGTGAGGCTGAGACATTGGCTATATGTAATCCTCTCAGTACTGTTTCCGCCGAAGGGCTTTTATTTAGTGTTTCGTTGTCGCTCTATTCTGGGGGCGAATCCGAGAGACTCATAAATTCCGATCATTAGAAAAAAGAAAAAAGAATTAAAAATACTCTTGACGTCCTTAGTTATTGTCTTAACCAATAACTAGCCACTATCAAGAATTACCGACTTACCCTTCATCAGACTGGCACATCTGGTTGGCTTATCGGAGGATCAACTAGGTAACGTTAATAGTCCCTAGAACCCTATATTCGGTTGAGCCATCTCGCTACCGAAGTATTCAGATATAAATAAAATTAGAAAATAAATAGAGCTCTATTAATAGAACTAGACCAACTCTTTTATGTTTGGTATTTTACTGACGCCTTTTAATGGCCTCATCCAAATATCTGACATGTTAAATGGAAAAGGTTTAATTAATAAAACCTTTAAAACCCATTTTAGGAAACTTAAGTTCCTCGTGCTATTGAGAGCACGTTAGGGCGACTTAAGTTCCTCGTACTATTAAGAGTACATTTAGGAACTTAAGTTCCTCGTACTATTAAGAGTACGTTTATAATTTGCGTACTGCTTAAGAGTACGTTTATACATGGAGTCTAATGTGGAGGCCCGGCTTATTAAAACCCATATTAGGAAACTTAAGTTCCTCGTGCTATTAAAAGCACATTTAGGAGACTTAAGTTCCTCGTACTATTAATAGTACATTTAAGAAACTTAAGTTCCTCGTACTATTAAGAGTACGTTTATAAGTTGCGTACTGCTTAAGAGTACGTTTATACATAGAGTCTAATGTGGAGGCCCGGCTTGTTACACAGCCCCCACCCAGCTTTGAGACCCAAGAGAAGCAAGTTGCTCACTCAAGCTGATTATGGGTCAAAAAGCGAGAAAGGAAAATCGGGCCAAAA